GGCCCTGGGCCCACGGCGCTTGGGCAGCCCTGGCCCTGGCCCCGGGGCACATGCCGCCCCCCAGCGCATGAGTGGCCCCGCCCCCCGGGGTGCCCAGGAGCCTCTATAGGTTGGGGACCACTGGTCTAGATGGTGCTCAGTCCTGCTGTGAGGGCAGGGGACTGGACTAGAGACCTCCCAAGGTCCCTCCAGTCCCACGATTCTACGATGTCACCTTAAATGGGCCCGAAGTCTGTACTCGGAGAGGCTCATGGGAACGTTTCCGCAATAAGCACGAGAGTCTGGAATCCAGCTGCCCGAGACCCCACTGAGTTCCGGGAGTCACTCTGCACCGCAGGCAGGGAGAGCCCTGCCTGGGGCTCGGCCCCAGCAGCCTCATCACTACATAATGAAGAGCAATAACCAATCGTTGTCAGGACGTAAACGGAAAGGATGTGCCAAGCTGGCGGGACACGGGCCATGCTGCGACTGCGCTGCCCGGCCCCCGCTGCTGTCTGCAGGGCTCACTGGGAGGAAGGGATTTGCTAGCAGGGACTTGCATGGAGTTATTCTAGAGTTACACTAGGGCTACATCTACACTGGCATGATTTTCCGAAAATGCTTTTAACAGAAAAGTTTTCCGTTAAAAGCATTTTTGGAAAAGCCCATCTAGATTGGCAGGATGCTTTTGCGGAAAAGTGTCCATGGCCAATCTAGACGCGGTTTTCTGCAAAAAAGCCCCAATCGCCATTTTCGCCATCGGGGCTTTTTTGCGGAAAACAGTACTGTGCTGTTTACACTGGCCCTCTTGCACAAATGATTTGCACAAGAGGGCTTTTGCCCGAACGGAAGCAGCATAGTATTTCCGCAAGAACACCGGAAAATCTTACATGAGATCGTCAGTGTTCTTGCGGAAATTCAAGCGGCCAGTGTAGGCAGCTGGCAAGTTTTTTGCCAGTGTAGACACAGCCTAGGGGAACAGAGATCAAGAATCGGACCATCATTTTTAACTTAACTAAGGCTCCATCTAGACTGCAGGCTTCTTTCAGAAGAAGCTTTTTTTGGAAAAAATCTTCCGAAAAAACTTCTTCTGAAAGACAGCGCCCCCGCTGCCAACATGCATAGAAAAAACGATCTGCTTTTTCGAAAGAGAGTGTCCAGACTGAATGGTCGCTCTCTCGCATGTAAGCTGTGATTGCTATGGACCGAGTGGCCACCAGGGCACCTGTGCTTTTTCCTCTTTCCTCTTCTTCCGAAAGAACTCCCCCTTCCCCGTCCACATAGACCTTTTTGCGAAAGAGCAAAAGACTTCTTCCTCGTAGAATGAGGATTACCAATGTCGGAAAAACCCCTCTGCTCTTTCGATTTGCTTGCAGAAGAACGCGATTGCAGTGTGGACGTTCCTCAAGTTTTGTCGGAAAAATGGGAGTTTTTCCGATAAAACTCTGTAGAGTAGACAGACCCTCACTGACTGACTGACCTTGAAGATGTTCATCTATCACCTTTAGAAACTTTCCTGGGTTTGGCTTCCAGCCCCATGTCCCTATCTTGCCAACACTTAGGCACGTCCTTTCCTGCACACACGAGAGTACGGCCCTGAACTCCACGGGGCTGGTTAACATGGTCAGTCAAACACATGCCACAGTCTCTGCCGGGCCAGGGCCTCACTGCAAATCCAAAGTGTGTCCAAACTGAATGGGCAGTGGGGAGTTTGGGGTTCTATAGAAGCCACAGAACCAGAGCAGTTTGCTCTGAATTCAGCTACTGGGGCCGTGCAAAATACACACAGGACTCGGGTGCAAATGTTCAGGGTTTCTCTTTGGGCAGCTGTGTGCCTGCAAAGATCTGCTTTCCGCTGATGGGCGGGGAAGGGGTTTTTGGCATCAAAACGGTGATTTTGTGACACGATTTCACCGCGATTTCTCCCAGTTGTCACATATTTCACTCAAAACTTCCGGTGCTTTTTTTAAAAGTAAATTTTTACCCTTTTAGATGAAATAATCTCAAATTGTCCAAGAACAATTGGCCATTTCTCAAGGCGGCGCCCAAAGGGAGCATTTGACCTTTGGCGGTGCTGGTTTTGCACGGCTCCGACTACCACGCCCCCACCCACCAAGCTCAAGAAGAGAGAAGTAGGAAGGAGAGTTCTACGCACCATAGGACTTACCCCGAAATTGGAAGCAGCAAAGCGGTCTGAGGCAGACACGTTGGTGGAGGCAGTGGTGTGGGCGTAGTACGCGTTGATGTTGGCTAGGAGGGTGCTCATCACTGCCGGCACGCCGGGACACATGTACTTGGAGGACAGGCAGGCAAAGTGACTGAAAGAGAAGAGACGACAGGCTGGGTGAAGGGGCCTGCCGCAGGAGGGGGAGCAGGGAATGCCGGTGCGGGGGACGAGGTAGGATAGTGGGACGGAGGGTGTGGATGTGCCGAGGGGAGGGTGTGCACTGCACAGCGTGGGGGTGGCGTGTCAGGAGATGCTGTGTCCGTCTGCCCAGGGTGGAGCGAGTTGTGTCAGAAGGGAATCGCAGATCCTGGGGCAGGCAGAGACCACAGGAGGCATCGAGTCCAGCCCCCTGCCCAAAGCAGGACCAACCCAACTCAATCATCCCGGCCAGGGCCCTGTCAAGCTGGGACTTAGAAACCTCTAGGGATGGAGATTCCACCCCTCCTTAGGGAACCCAGCCCAGCGCTTCCCCACCCGCCTAGGGAAATTATTTTTCCTAATATCCAACCTAGACCTCCCCCACTGCAACTTGAGCCCATCGCTCCTTGTTCTGCCACCTGCCCCCACTGAGAACAGCCTCCCTCCAGCCTCTTTGGAATCCCCCTAACAGTCTGGCCTAAAGACAGTGCTAATGTGTGAATGGGTATAAATTAAAACTCTCTTAAACTCGGTTACAGCTTGGTCCAATGTCCATTGAAATCAAAGGGAGTCTTTTCATTGGCTTTGCCTCAGGCCCCTCGACTCCCTTACATGAGACCTACATGGACCCAGCCCATCAGTGTGTAAAGGTGGGTCTGGCCCACGAAAGCTCATCATCTAATAAACCATCTTGTTAGTCTTTAAAGTGCTACATTGTCCTGCATTTTGCTTCAGCTACCCCAGACTAACACGGCTACATCTCTACCACTATTGCACATTGTGAGGCATTCAGAAATTGTAGTGATGGGGGGGCATAGAAGGATCCCCAATAGGTTTCTCCTACCATTTGCCTCTCCTCTATTTAGAGTGGAAGTTCTTTGGGGCAGGGACTGCTCTTGCAATGTATGTGTGTGTGTCCAGGCCCAGCACCACAGGACTTTGGCCATGGTTGGGGACAATGAGTAAGCTATGTATGTAGAGATATTTGTGTGTCTGTCTGTGTGTGTGTGTCTTTCTGTGAGTCTATTTGGGTGTGTCTACACTACCCTCCTAGTTCGAACTAGGAGGGTAGTGTAGACATACCCTCAGTCTCTCCTCGTAGGTCATGTGCTCCAGCCCCCTGATCATTTCGGATGCCCTTCGCTGGACCCTCTCCAATGCGTCCACATCCTTTCTATACTGGGGGGCCCAGAACTGGCTGCAATACTCCAGCTGTGGCCTCCCCAGATAATGCACAGGGTGTGTTCTTCTGTTTATGTTTGCATGGAGTGTGGCTTGTACAATGGGTGTGTGTAGGGAGTGCTTTGGAGAGTTTGTGGTTGAGAAGGGTGTATGAAGGGTATATGTGGTGTGTGTGTAAGGCTGTGTGCGCATACGAGAGGAATGCGCAAGGTGTGTGTATGCATGCAGGATGTGTGTGCGCTATGTGTGTAAGGTGTGGGTGTTTAGTGTATGCCATGTGTGCATGTGCAGTGTGCACAGGCACCGTGTAAAGTGTGCATTGGGTATAAGCATGTGCAGTCGGTAGGGTGTGGGCATGTTCAGTGTGTGCAGTGTGCTCCGGATGTGTGTGTGTGTAGGGTGTGCATGGTGTGTGTGTGGCAGTGTGTGCAGGCTGTGTGCATGACAGTGCGTGCGGTGTGTGCGTGGTGTGTGTGTGGCAGTGTGTGCAGGCTGTGTGCATGACAGTGCGTGCGGTGTGTGCGTGGTGTGTGTGTGGCAGTGTGTGCAGGCTGTGTGCATGACAGTGCGTGCGGTGTGTGCGTGGTGTGTGTGTGGCAGTGTGTGCAGGCTGTGTGCATGACAGTGCGTGCGGTGTGTGCGTGGTGTGTGTGTGGCAGTGTGTGCAGGCTGTGTGCATGACAGTGCGTGCGGTGTGTGCGTGGTGTGTGTGTGGCAGTGTGTGCAGGCTGTGTGCATGACAGTGCGTGCGGTGTGTGCGTGGTGTGTGTGTGGCAGTGTGTGCAGGCTGTGTGCATGACAGTGCGTGCGGTGTGTGCGTGGTGTGTGTGTGGCAGTGTGTGCAGGCTGTGTGCATGACAGTGCGTGCGGTGTGTGCGTGGTGTGTGTGTGGCAGTGTGTGCAGGCTGTGTGCATGACAGTGCGTGCGGTGTGTGCGTGGTGTGTGTGTGGCAGTGTGTGCAGGCTGTGTGCATGACAGTGTGTGTGGTGTGTGCGTGGTGTGTGTGTGGCAGTGTGTGCAGGCTGTGTGCACGACAGTGTGTGCGGTGTGTGCAGGGTGTGTGCGCAGCATTGTATGTGGTATGTGGAGGGTGTGTGTGTGGCAGTGTGTGCGGTGTGTGCAGGGTGTGTGCGCAGCACTGTATGTGGTATGTGGAGGGTGTGTGTGTGGCAGTGTGTGCGGTGTGTGCAGGGTGTGTGCGCAGCACTGTATGTGGTATGTGGAGGGTGTGTGTGTGGCAGTGTGTGCGGTGTGTGCAGGGTGTGTGCGCAGCACTGTATGTGGTATGTGGAGGGTGTGTGTGTGGCAGTGTGTGCGGTGTGTGCAGGGTGTGTGCGCAGCACTGTATGTGGTATGTGGAGGGTGTGTGTGTGGCAGTGTGTGCGGTGTGTGCAGGGTGTGTGCGCAGCACTGTATGTGGTATGTGGAGGGTGTGTGTGTGGCAGTGTGTGCGGTGTGTGCAGGGTGTGTGCGCAGCACTGTATGTGGTATGTGGAGGGTGTGTGTGTGGCAGTGTGTGCGGTGTGTGCAGGGTGTGTGCGCAGCACTGTATGTGGTATGTGGAGGGTGTGTGTGTGGCAGTGTGTGCGGTGTGTGCAGGGTGTGTGCGCAGCACTGTATGTGGTATGTGGAGGGTGTGTGTGTGGCAGTGTGTGCGGTGTGTGCAGGGTGTGTGCGCAGCACTGTATGTGGTATGTGGAGGGTGTGTGTGTGGCAGTGTGTGCGGTGTGTGCAGGGTGTGTGTGATCGGCACAGCGCGGCGGCCATTTTGATTTTGATTTAAATGAAGCGGCAATTATTTAAATCGTTGTCCTGCCACGTAGTCTAGACGTACCCTGTGTGTGCTGTGTACAGGCTGCTTGTGTCTACATTGGCACCCTTTTCCTGATTTTAAGAGGAATAAGGGATCTTCCGGAAAAGGCTTTATTTTCCGAAAGATCCCGTCTAGACTGGCGCTTTTCTCCAGCAAAGCCCCGAGCCGGAAAAAAGCGGCAGCCATATTCATGCAAATGCCGCGGGGGATATTTAAATCCCCTGCAGCATTTGCAATTCCGACTTGTCTCATTAGCATCCCTTTTCTGGAAAAGGGTGCCAATGTAGACACAGCCGCTGTGTGTGTGCAAACTGTGCAGGCTGTGCATGGCAGTGTGTGTGTGTGTGTGTGCATGGTGTGTGCAGGTGGTGTGCATGGAAGTGTGTGCAGGGTGTGTGTGTGGTGAGTGCAGGTGGTGTGTGTGTGGTGTGTGCAGGGTGTGTGGTGTGTGCAGGCCGTGTGTGTGTGGTGTGTGCAGAGTGCGTGGCAGTGTGTGCAGGCCGTGTGCGTGGCAGTGTGTGTGGTGTGTGCAGGCCGTGTGTGTGTGGTGTGTGCAGAGTGCGTGGCAGTGTGTGCAGGCCGTGTGCGTGGCAGTGTGTGCAGGGTGTGTGCGTGGCAGTGCACATGTTCAGGAGCAGACTGAGCCCTGCCCCAGTGTGTTGGAACCAGACCCAGCCTGACACTCGGAAGGCGCGTGCCTGCCCCTGCCCGTGGGTGACTGCCTGAAGGGGGCTGCTGCTGGCTCCGTGGCCAGGCCGAGCGGCTGACCTGCAGGTCCGGGGAGTGCAGGAGCCCCAGCGGATTAGCCACTGGCCAATGGGGCCCGTGGCTGGGGCCCAGGCACTTGGGGGACCGCTGTGTTCAAACCTGCTTCACCTGCCGCTCCAGCTGGGGAGCAGGGTCTGGGCCGGGGGGCTGCCCTGCCTGCCCCCATGCCCAGCCCCATTTCCCCAGTAGGACAACGGGTGGGGAAGGAACATGGGGGCATAAGGGGTGGGGCCCCATTTGCCCCGGGCCGGGAGCCCCACAAAGCCACAGGGCCCGGCTCAGCTGGTGTCAGCCAGCGTCACCCATTGACTCCAAGGGAGCTGCCCTGGGTGAGCCCAGCTGAGGACCTGGCCCCGTATCGTTACCCCTTACCCAGTGCTCAATTAACCCCTTCAAACAAAGAGGGAGTGGACGGGAGAGACGCACGTCATGGCCTGGTAGATGGACTCCACCCCGTATCGCATGGCGAACTCGTCCACGATCTCCTGGGCCGTCTCGTCGAAGTACACCTTCCAGGCGTCGTCCCCCTTGGCCTCGGGGATCTTCACCACCCCGTTGTTCTGCAGGTCCGTCACGAAGTGGAAGAGGTTCTAAGGCATGGGACAGAGGAGAGCCCTCAGGACCACTGCTAGCAAGGGCTTCCTTGGCCACTCAGGCGAGTGGGTCTGGGGAGGGGCTGTTCCACTGCTGTGCGGATCAAGGACCCGGCACTGCGGAGCTGAGACTGCCGATGGAGATCTGAGTTCTGGGGCGCCCTGTGCCATGGGGGAGCCCCTGCTCCAGGGCAAGGGCGGCAAAACACTGCCTCTCTGACGGGATAGAAACACAGACCCTAAGACCGGGGTGGGCAATACTTTTTGCAGGGGGGCCACTTCAGGAATTTTGGCAGTGGTTGTGGGCCAGCCCCCCCCCCCCCTCCCCGGAAGGGGCAAGGCCTCAGGTGGAAGGGGCAGGGCCTTGGGCAGAAAGGGCGGGGTGCCTCTGAATGGCCTGGGGGTGGGGGAGCAAATGAAGTCTTAGCCCCTCTTCGCCCGCTCTAGGTGCGCAGCGCCTAGAGAGAACCGCTAGCTGTTTTGAACAGCTGGCAGTAGGCTGCTCCCTGCCTGCCGCAGTCTCAGGATGCTCAAAATGGCAGACTGCTCCTGTGGCTCTCTGCTCCAGGCACTGGGGAGTGGGGGAAGCTTCATGCACTGCCCTGCCCCCCAGAACAATCTCTCATCTCCCGGTTTCCGGGAACCCTCCTCCTCCCTCCAGTGCCCACAGCAGAAAGCCACAGGGAGCAGCCAGCTGCTTAAAGCAGAGTGGGGCTCCTTGGAAGCAGCTGGCTGCTCTGTGTCTGAGGGTCCCGGCAGGGTGGATCCTGTGGACTGGATCAGGCCGCCTGCAGGCTGGATCTAGTGGCTTGGTGGACCGGCTCTGGCCCGCGGGGCCGTATCTTGCCCACCCCTGCCCTAGGAAGACAGGTTGACAAGCCCTAGCGTCCAAGCTCCCTATGCGTCCCCTCCGAGTGCCGGCTGAGGCACGCTGGCATGCAGCTGTGTGCGGCAGAAACCGTGCCCGTGCTGTGCCCGCTCCAGGGAGGACGGGAGCCCTTCGCTCTCCCGGGCTCTTGACCACCCGTTAAAATTCCCTTGAAACGTCCGGTCATTTGAAAACCAGGGTTCTGACTATAAAAGGAAGCAGGGTGGGCTGGGGGTACGGTGCGGGGCCTGGGGCCTGGGGCCCGGGGGCATGGCTCACCTCGTGCAGGCAGGTGTATTGCACATGGTACGGCGCCACCTTCTCCTCTCCCTTTATCTCCACGCTGATGTGCAGCCGGATGGCTCCGGACACGGCTGACTTGTCCGTCCGCTTGTCTGCAGGCAGGAGGGCAGGAAGCAGATGAAGCGTTAGTGCGCTGATGGCCGTGGCAAGAGCACGAGGCATCAGGAGAAGCCGGCTGGTGGGTACAGCCAGGGTCTGGCACCTAGGGAGGCTGGGGTCAGCTCCCAGCTGTGCCCTGGGACCCTGGGGGCTTTGGGAAAGTCACTGGGCCTCAGCTCGTTTGTGAAAGGGGCGAACGTGCCTGGGTCTGGCCGCGGTAGCTCTGCGGGGTGAGGAGTCTTCTGCGATGTGTATGTGCAAGGGGGCTGCAGGGCTGTTCCCACACTGGCAGCAATGAATGCTGGAGCCCTGGTGTGGCCCATGAGTGGGGAGACAGGGCCCTCCTTGTGGGAGGTGACTGGAAGAGCCTGCCTTAAATGGCCTGGCAGAACAGCATGGGACGCCAGGGAGGGAGAGGAGCTAAGGCCAGTGCTGGTACATGGAGCAAGGGGCATAGAAAGGAGAAGCAGGTGTCAAAGTGTCATAGGAGGGAGGCCCTGGAGCAGCCTCTCCAGAGGAGCCTGGGGACACACGACCTAGCTGGGCTGACGAGGTCCCTGCCAGCCCTGTGGTCTCTGGCCGGCGATTCAGTAAGAAACAAGAAGTGTGCAAAGAACCCCGCCTGCAACGGAGAGGAGAACCCGCAGCCTGGCCAGCTCCAAAAAGCTTTTCAACCTCGTTTGTACGGACAGGGCTATATCCCACACACCCACTGGCTGTGGGATCAAGGGGAGCCCAGTCAGCCCTCCCCCCGCCACGAGCAGCTGTTTTGTGGCATGTGGGGAAGGAGCAAAGGTGCCATGCGCTCAGGGGCGGAGGTGGACCTGGGCGGGGAGAAGTTGGAGTGGGGCGGGGCTTAGGAGAAAGGGGTGGAGTGGGGCTGGGCTTGGGAGGAAGGGATTGGAGTGGGGGTGGGGCTTAGGAGGAAGACTTGGAATGGGGGAGGGGCTTAGGAAGAAAGGGTAGAGTGGGGGCGGAGCCAAAGGTGGGCACCCCTTAGCACCTTTGAACGTTGGTGCTTGTGCTGCATAGGGCCGGGCGGGGGAGTGAATTACCCAGGTTGTACCAGACATCCATCTCCCCGCTCAGCGTCCGGACCTCTATGATCGTCTGGCCTAGGAAGTCGTCGGACTCTCTCTTAAAGCGCTGCTTGACTCGCGACTTTATATCGTCATCTTCGTCCCAGACCCGCACCTTGATCCGGTCGGAGGAGTTATGGCATTCACTGGGGGTGGGGGAGGACAGAGAAATTCCCAAGGCCAAGACATGATCCAGGTTAGCCTCCAGGAATGGTGGATTCCTAGCGAAGACACCCCCCTTCCCGATCCCCCAGCAAAACCCGGACATTGAACTGGGAGCTCCCTCAAACCCTCGCAGTCCTGGAACAGGCTCCTGGAGCACTGGGGGTGGGGAACGGCCCCGACCGGCATCCTGAGCCTGCAGTTCCCTCCCGCTGGCAGACAGCACCATGCTGAGGCTCTTGTTAATTCCCACAGGGCCCACGCTCCTCTCGAGTCCCATTTGAGCCCTGCGGGTTCTTGGCGCTCGCCGCTGAGCTGGGAAAAGAGGATCTGTGTCTGCGCGCTCCCACCAGTACCCCTGTGCTGCACGCAGAGGCGCCACCCGGGGCTTGTCCACACAGCGAAGCCCCGCGACGGGCCCTGCCAGCTGACTCAGGCTAGCCCAAGTGTCCAGACAGTGGGCCCCTCCCACCTTGCAGTGACAGAGCCTGGCTCCTGCCTGAGCCTAACATCTACACAGCAGTGAAACCGCCCCGGGCCCAAGCCCGGAGCCCAGTCCCCAAGCAGGAGTCTAGCTGCTGTGCAGACATATCCCCAATCCAGAGCCAAGTCTACAGCTCGCTTCCTTCCCTAGCAGCCAGGCCCTGCTGGGATTGGCAAGCTACACAGCAGCCAGGCAGACGGCTCCAAGGACTGACCAAACCTGATAGCCAGTGACTGAGGAGGAGCAGGGCAGCCCGGGGAGGCGAGGGGCGGGGCTGGGAGTAGGATGTAACTTACAAGTGGAAATTCTCCTCCCAGACCGGATTTAGATTCCCATAGATCGTTTTAGTCCTTTTCTTCGTCTTCCCAACCTGGACAGTAACATACGGGTCACTGGAACCTGTCTTATCCTTTGCCTGCAGGCCCTGGGCACAGACAACTATAACACAACACACACACATCCCACGCACACAGAGGCACACGGCACCACGCACCAGCCAGCCCCACAGAGACGCAAGACACACAACGGAGAAAACAGACAAAACGAGGGATCAGTGGCAGAAACAGAACAAATGGGCAACATGTGATTTGCCTGACTTGGCTTGGGATTCATGGCAAGGGTGAGGCCGGGGCATCTGGCTGGCTGGTGCCGGCTCTAATGGGGATTCACTTCCTTTCCCCAAAAGCTGGGCTCATGACGGAGGCTCCCAACAGGAGGAGAGCCCTGAGCTCTTGGCAGTGGAATATCTACCCCTCGGTGCACAGCAGGGGCAAGTCTGGGCTGCAGAGATCGGCACGCAGCCCTGGGGGCAGAGAGCCTTGTTAACTCCAATGCCGTGTCCTTAGCTAAGTGCTCCGTATGCCCTACAGCAGTAAAGCCGAGATGTGCTCCCTGGCCTGCCGTCAGGAGGTGGCATTGGGTGTCCTTGCGGTGGCACTGAGAGGTGCCAACCCCAGCGCCATCCCAGTGTGACGGGGACATCCAGAGATCTCCAGGGGCACATGGGTTCTACTCTCACCCCCTCTCTGCCCGGGGCGCACGTCCAGCGCTGGCTGGGCACATGGGGCTGGCCTGGCGCCTACCTGTGATGCTGATCTTGGCGGACCATTTGGAGGTGCCATCCAGCACGCTCTGCTTCACAGCCTTCATCTGCTGGGTGTGAGTGGCCTTCGAGACGGCGAAGATCTCTTGGATCAGCTCAAAGATCTCAGGCTTGTTCCGCTCCCGGATCTTCATGCGGTCCTTCAGCACCATGATGATGTTCTGGGTCCGGTCCTCTGCCCCGTGCTTGGAGCTCTTCTCGGCCGCTCCTGGGTGCAAGGAAGAGGGGAAGTTCTGGGACAGCCTGCCTTTGGAGAGCACTCAGGCAGGGCCGGCATTGGAGTTAACGGGGGTGTAAGTCCCCCCACGGGGTTGGCGAGGCATCGAAGGCATGCAGAAGGGCTGGGATTGGTACACATCGGGTCAGTCGACACCCCTCCCGAATACTCTCCAAAGCGAGAAGAGAGAGAGGCTGCGCCCCCTTACTCTGGAGGCAGTCTGCGTTGAGCAGGTCTTGGCACTTTTCGTGGCACTTGACCCCGCACTCGGTGCAGCGCATGCCCTGCCGGGCGATGCCCCACAGCAGGCCCTCGCACTCGTAGCAGTAGGTGGGGGTGGTGGCAGTCCACACCTCGAAGTTGTGGGGGGTCGTGGAGGAGATGGGGTAGATTAAGGCTTGAAGGGTCTTCTTGTAAACATGGTTTTTCTAAGTGAAGAAGTGGGGAAGAAAAGGCTCAGGCCACGGAGAGTCTCATCTGAGTGGGGGGGCGGGGTTGCTCCCAGACAGCGAAAGACCCCAGAGATGGCGCTTAGGACACGGGGCTCCATCCCTCCAGCCCTGGGCATGCTGACCTTCCCTTGCCACCGAGGTGCGGCCAGCTCTGGGCTGGAACGCAGCCGCTGCTTAACAGCACACAGCAACTGGTTGGGCAATGAATGCAACAGCCTTGCTTGGGATTAGCCCGGTTCATACTTCCACTGGGATATCTGTCACCACCACAAGCAGGCCAGTTATGTTTGCCCCCTCTGCGAGAAGCCACCTCTCATGGCACAGAGCCCGTGGTGACCACCCTGGACTCAAGAACAAGCAATCTCCCTGCAGCACCCATCTCTTGGCCGACCCGCCCGACCCTGCTTTGCCCGTGCAGTGTGACAGGCGCGGTGCCTGGACGGAGCCCCCAGCAGCAGAGTTAGAGCTGCCAAAGGGTCACACTTACTAGCTCTTCATTGTTTAAGGTGCTTGATGCTAGTGCTGACGTGATCCCTGCTTTCCTGGACTGGACCAACGACTGATGGAGTAAAACAGAATCAAACAGCTGTATCAGCAGGGAGGAGTCACAGCCAGCCCCACCCCCTATCTGGTGGACTTTTAACAGCAAAGGTCACCAGGCCAAAATACCCAGCGCCTCAGTGTGGTGGAAACAGCTGGATCTCCAGAGCCATGACACAGGCGTCCCCGCCCCGGCCGCAGGGCCAAAGAGCGCACAGGGCGGCATGGACTTTGGGAGCTGCCAATCCTTCCAGCCTGGAGACCTCATCTTTGACAACGGGCAAGCTCCTCAAAGCCGGGTGTACTACCTCTGCCCGACGTCCATGCCAAGTGGTCTCAGAGGGCCCGGTTCACCAGCCCACGCTGGCCTCAGTTTTCATCCCCATTCATACAACTCTGGGTTGGATCAACGGGGGAGAGCTACTGACCTCCAGATCCTCCCCCTCCCCGAATCTACGCTTCTCGGCCGGCCCCGCCACACCACGTGGCAGCTGTTCCTCAGCCTGCTCATTTCTAGCAAAGCCCCAGCTATTCCCTGCAAGACCCTCCCCCAACCTCCGCTCCCCGCCCCCCCCCGCCACACCACGTGGCAGCTGTTCCTCAGCCTGCTCATTTCTAGCAAAGCCCCAGCTATTCCCTGCAAGAAACAGGCCAACGGCGGAAAATGGGGTGTGAGAAACAAGGCAGGACTTACCATAGCCTGCGAGGGAGCCCAGAGCCAGAGGGATGGAAAGCAAAAGACAGTAACATCAGCCACTGAAACAGGGAGGGCAGGTCCTACTCCCTTCCTCTCTGTCCTAGGGAGTCGGCGGGTGAATGGACAGCACCAAACTCCACCCGCTTCTGGGCCATCTCTGTTCCTTGCCCCACTCGGCCAGCTGTGGGAACCGGCTGCATCTCCTCCCGTGGCAGGGACCCCGCCCCTCCCCCAGGGCCAGAGCAGGCAGGTGTGGAACTGACCGAGGCCGGGCGGGGCCTCTCTGCCACACCTGTGGGGCCACAGCACATGCTTCCCTCCGAGGAGGGAGGACGCCTGCTCCACCTTTCCCCATCTGCGCACAGCAGCTGGCAGGCCCAGCTTGCTTCCCGGGCGGGCAGGGCTGATTCCAGCCCCCTGGGGCCGGGGCTGCAGGGATCGCCCAAGGAAAGGAGCCCGGCTGCTACAGAGATAAAACTGTCCATGACGGGTGGGGCTAAAGTGCACCCCAGTGCAGCGAGCCCCCAGGGGATCCTCCCTGCTGTCCATACCCCTGTACCCAATACAGCCCAGTGCATCATCCACAAAGACCCCTCCCTTCACCCCCCTCCGCCCAACCCAGCATCCCCCATCACCCCATGGAGAGACAAACAACACTCAGTGCAGGGCATCAGCGCGGCGTGCCAGGGCCGGAGCAGCACGTGGGCACCACGCGGACAAGGCAGCGAAGGAACAAGGCGAGGCAGCTTGGGCGGAGAGAAACACGAGGGCCACAGAATCCCCGGGGTGCAGCCCAAAGCACAGCCCCGGCCAACGGATTCAAGAGGGGGAGGGGAGGGGGAAGGGGAAGCCAAGGGGGAGCCGAGGTGAGAAGGCAGCAAGGGGTCCGGTTTCAAATTTTGTCCTTTGTTCGCAGTGAAAATAACGCCAAGCGGGCTGAGGAGAGGCGTGCGGTCTGCCCTGCGGGGAGGTTGACGGGCTTTGGGTAAGACCCGGCCCTGTGAATTACAGCACTGTGGGTTTCGGGTACAGTCTGTGACTTAGGGGGGCGTGTTGGTCAGAGCAGTGAATGACAGGAGGGTACCGGCTGTAACCCTTTACGGGGCACCGACAGGCGTGCGTGAGGGCACCAGCACGTTGTGTGTTGCACTGTATGACTGGGATGGCAAATGCTCGCTTGCTGCAGGCGGACAG